TAAATGCACACACAAACACAACACAACACACACACACACACACACACACACACACACACACACACACACACACACAGAGGCCAGAAGTCAAAACTGGCTGTCTCCTTCTATTGCTTCTCTACCTTGATTTTTTTTTCTCAGTATATCCCATTGTCTTGGAATTTACCAATTAGGCTAACCTGGCTGAACAGAGAACCCAAGGGGTCCTCCTGTATCTGTATCTACCTCCTCAACATCTGGATTACAGATGCTCAGGTGTATCTGCTTTTTTATGTGGATGCCCTGGATCCAAAATCACATGGCAAGTACTTTGCCACCTGAGCCACCTCTGCAGCTTCCAGTTCTTAAAAAAGAAGGGCAAGAGTGTGGTCTAAGCCAACTGTTCAATGCCTTGTGGCCCTTAGAGTAAGTGTGTGAAGACAAAATGGCCAACAGTGAGAGTAGGGATTAGCTGAGAGGCTGGAGTGTTATATTAGCATAAGCTGAGTGTAAGAACTGATTACTGCTTGATGTATCTGTCACACACAACCCAAGTTCACCGATCAACTCGATAGGCCTGTTCACAAATCTACAAAGGATTCACAATTTTCCTGTAAATGTATCTAAGTCTGAAAGCTTGAGGATATGGCCGCTTAAGACACTTGGGCTATGGACAAACATTGGGATGTGGGCTTCATGAGCTCTGTATAGACTCAGAGAGTATGAAGACATCTACATTTCATGCCTCCTACCCTCAAAGTCTTGCCTGCAAAACACCAAAGAGCAGAGTAATCCACTCTCTAATCACAGCCAGAGCATTGTTGTTAGGTGCAAATGTTTCTGTCAGAATTATAGCACCAAAAGGGCCATACGGGCATAAAAAGAGCCACCTTATCCAGGAAATCAGCAACATCATCACAGTAATGAGAACAGTTGGCCACTCTCCCTCCCTCCATCCCTCTCCTCTCTTTTTTCTTTCGCCCAGCACTGGTCTAATGTGTAATGCACATTAACCTCACAGGAGTTCTTGCCTCACCCTCTGAGGGCTGGGATAACAGGTACACTCCACCACACATAATTTCCAAGCTAATTTTTCTGTATACTTTGTATGTTCTGGACACTGTGCTGGGCTCTTGCCATGTATTATCAACTTAATCTTCCAAAGCCCTTCATGATGGTGAAGCTGTCCTGATCCCCACTTTTTAGACGAGGAGCTAAGGGACACAGATATTAAATAACTTGTCCAAGGTCAAACTAGTGGGTAGTGAAATCCAAACCCAGACCCAGAACCTTCCTGCCAACCAGCATTATGTTTGGTTTCATGGTGACATCACAGGTAACATATTCCAAATTCCTATTTTAATGTCCTAAGCGTTTGCTCCAACAAAAGACTATTATGTATGTGGGGTTTTGTGCGTTTGTTTGTATTTTTAGTATATTAATTTTGAGTGCTTATAAGTTTAAAACTACTGAGCCTTGCAACTCTTCTCTTAATAATAGATCAGTATGGGAATCATTGCTGAGAGATGGAAAGAGATCCAGGGCATAAACCATCTCCCCATACCTCATGCACCAGCTAAATTGCCAGGAGCATTTCTGAGCTAATATTTGGACTAATAAAAGAATTCAAGGGTTACTTCCCACCCCTGCTCAACCCACAGCTCTATATAGGTGAGCACTAGAATAGGGAGAAGGTGGGTACTAGGTGGGTACTAGAGTGAGGTGAGTGCTGGAATAGGGGAGAAGGTAAGTCCTAGAATAGTGGAAAAGGTGGACACTAGAATAGGGAAGAAGGCAGAGACCAGAATGAGGGAATGATGCATCAGGCTTTTTCCTGAAAGGCTCCTGAGCGTAGCAGGGCTGGAGTGAAGGAAGAATGGTTTGCTCTGTGAGAGGAAGGAGTGGGAGCAAACAGGAGGTCTAGGGCCACCTGCAGGAGGACTGGGAGGCCTCTGAGGAGGGAGTGGAAGGGAGGAGAGCCAGCTGTGGCAGGAAGGGAAGGCGGGAACTCAAAGCCTGAGGTTTAGTTCAGTTCAGGCAGAGGGAGGGCTGCTCCATGGATGCAGGCAGGAAGGTTGAATGCCTCACGTTGGTCCCACCTCCTGAGCCTCTCTCTGAAGCTGCTGCACTGGACACAAAAGGGTGAGACACTGAGACCCTGTCTCTGCTAACAGGAAACTGGCTTCAGTAGCCTAGAGACGCCAAGTGTGACAAAGCCTGGGCAGGGTGTTCTCCACTGTTGTCTGCATTTTCCAGGTAAGCAGCTGTTTATGTGTGAAAGCCAGAAGTAAAGAGCGAGGGCCTAAGTAGAGGAGGTGGGAGGTGGCCTGAGTTAGTGCAAGCTGGTCGGAGTCCTGGAGCAGAGCAGGCTTAAGCACGAGCAGGACTAGGCCCCAGGCTAGGCTTGTGAAGAGCGTCTATGTATGGAGTGGGAGAACCGGGTGTGCACTAGTCCACGGCTGGCTGATGGGTATAGATGAAGTGCAGCAAAGGGCTGTGCTCTCGTGGCTTCGGAACCAGTGTGTCTGGAGAGCAGATGTTCTAGCCACGCCACCTTCTCAGTGTTCATCTTCCCAACCAGGTATATTTGTGCAGACTTGGCCAGATATCCATGCCCTGAGTCCCTGATCTCCTCATAGCCTTCCCTCTAAGAAAGAGCAAAGGTTTATAATGTTATAGAAGGAAGAAGGCTGGGTGACTGTGTTTGTTCACTGCGATGTGGCTTACCACATCCTGTCAAGAAAGGCAATCTCTCCTGAGGCTCCCGAGAAGGAGAAGCTAGGAGAAGCCTGCCTGATGCTCTGAGGAGGCAACAAGACACAGGTTTTGGAGAACAGGGTGCATATGGGTGAGGAACGGGTCAGGAGAGTGGTCCACAGAGCAGACAAGAGGAATGTGAACAACATATCACAGAGAGAGGATGAGACCCTAGGTATCTGTTACATACAAGTCCAGCATCCCTGTATCACCAGCTGGGAGATTCCAGGCCTGACCTAACATGCTAGTCATCTGGAGTTTGCTAGATGTGAGTCTCTTCACAGGTACACATTGCTCTCCAAGATCCCCAATGCTGAAAATATTGCAGTCTTGGTTTCTTGTCAAACACACACCAGCCACACTCTGACATGTTATGAGGCCAGGGCACCCAGAGGATTAACCCCTGGGCTTCACGACATAAAAGGACACAAAATGCTGAACACAGGCAGGTTTACAATATGTCTTCCCTTAATTCACAGCTTCTGTATGCAAAATCAAAAGTGAGGCTTCCTTCCTGCCTCTCCCCACTACACACACACACACACACACACACACACACACACACACAGAGTCACACCGGGCATTGGGCAGGTAGGAGTGTGGAGAGTACAGTTTAGTAAGATAGGTACAGGACCTACCAAGTTCCAAGACAGCTCCTGTCATCCCTGCCGAGGTGGGAGTGGGTAGTGCTGCAAGCAGCCAGGGAGTTTGGTGATAGTTACTGTTAGTGACTAACATCCCTTGCTGCCCCAGCCCAAGTCTATACAGTGTGCTTCCTGGCTCAGTCAGCCCTGGCGTCGTCTTTCTCCTGCAGAGGGCAATCTGGGTCAATGAGCACAGGGAGGAGTCCAATGCTCAGCCAGCCCAGCCAAGGTTCCCTGGCTCAGAAAACACAAGGGGCTTTGATGCCTGCAGAGAGCAGCAGTTCCCCTCCCCATTCCCCCCTCTGCCAGCCACCCCACCCCAGGATGCTGTGGCTGCTCTTGGCATGGCCCAACCCCAGAACAGGCCCTGCCAGGGAGGCTTCAGCTAAGAGGTGGTAGTGCTTGGGTTCTGAGAGAAATCCCAGAGCTGGTATCTGTGAGCTGTGTGGTCTTGGGCAGTCAGAAAACCTCATTAAGGCTCAGGGTCCTGTCTGCAAGATGGTAGGAAAAACACAGTTATGTTGTTCTTTATCTGGAAGGTTTCAATAAATGAAAGTGTGTCTGGGAAGCAGTCAATGTATAGTAAGTGACCCCCAAAATGCTTATTGTATCTGGCATTCTCAGGATGGTCCCTCAAAATGAAAGCAAGCTCACCCTACTGGCCAGGGACTACTTCCCATTCTCACTCCAAGGCCCTCGGTAGTTTCCCACTTTGGAAGCCACTCATCCACACATTCAGTTCTTGTTAACTGGCACTCAGGAGGCTTTGTCTGTGTCTTCAAGCTAAAGCAAAATTAAACTGAAAATAAGACTCAGATGGTTTCTACAGCTCATGCCTTGCTGTCCAAACCTTAAGTTGATGTTTGTCAAATTGGGGATATGTGGGGTATGTTAGGCATACCATGCAACGGGGGTTCATATGGCACACTTAGGGGAAGATTAAACATTAAAGCTAAAGGTGAACATAGAATATACATTCCCTGAATGCTTAAAATGAGCCTTTTAAATTCTAGGTGGGCATCCTTTCTCTCTGACTGCTTCTGTTCACCCTCCATAATAGTTAGGGCCTTTTCATCTATTGCAAAGACTGTAAAGGCCTTGCTTAAGCAGACAGATGACTTAGGAACTCATCTGGTGTCTTGTGGTCTTACCCCCATTTTTCTGAGGACTATTCTTTGCCTTCAAAAGAGGTGGCTTATACATTCCAGTGCCTGAGAGGCAGCCCCAGATACCCATGATAGGATAACACTCTTGCCTTCCTGGCAGGGATGCTAACCTGGTCATTCAACCGGGGGACATCATAAGAGTGTCTGGGGTATCTCCAAGACTTTCTTGCTGTTTCATCTAGCTTCCCCAGCCCAGAGAACATCTGTATTGCTAGCATTAGAGGTGTGGACACCTAGTTAACCCTCTTACCTCCAATTGTCTCTTGGACATCTAGCAAGAAGGATGTCTGAAGGGGAGATGATGACTATGGCAGTTTCAGCAGAGCCCATAGCCTCCTTCATCCCACGATGCTGAACAGTATGCGTGGCATCACTATCGGCAGGAAAAAGAGCCATAGGCATAACCTCTGTCTATTAAATACACTCGCTGTTAACCCCTCTCCTCCTTCTGCAGGAACCCGGAGCCAAGCAAAAGCTCTTTCTAGGAGCAGCAGACAACTGAAGTGCCGGCACACTGAAGCACAAATGGACCCCCAGGAAAGATGGAACAAGGTATCCCTTGGCAGTATGATTCATGACACCCAGATGTTGAGCATGAGCATGGTGAGTGAAGACAAGGATGGTAGGGAGTGTGGCTCTCTAGTAACTCACAACAATACTGACTTACAGTGGGACACTCAGTCCTGCAAAGAGGAGGAAGAGAAATGGTCTGTGTCCTCCAGCGCTGCCTTTGTGGAGCAGAAACCTGGGGAGACGCCTGGGGGAACCACCAACCAGGGAAAAAAGGAACCAAAGATCACCCAGACTCAAGACTTCCCTCGATTAGAGGAGGTTCTCAGTGCCCCTTGCAAAGCCTCCTCACAGAGGCAGCCTCACGGGGTCTCTGTGTGCAATGATGGAAACAAGAAGGCAAGCAAGGACACAGCCTTGGAAGTCCGGACCAGTTTCTTGCATAGTGGGGAATCATTTTGGTCACAGAACAGAGCAGATACATCCTCCCTAGATAAGAACTCTCTGGAGCATCTTCCCAGATCTGAGAGCATCCCAGCTCAGACTTCAGCCACTTTCGCCACCAGCCCAGCAGCAGCTTTGGTCAGAGTACAGGGCAGTAGTAAAGTTGAGAGCCAGGTAGACCCAGGAGACAGAGGGCAGGAAGAGGAGAGTCCTACCAGGTGCGTGCAGGACAGGCGGGCCTTCCAGAAGTCCAGCAAACTCCAGGTCCCCCAAGAACACCATGGCACCAAGCCCTTTGTGTGCCAGCTGTGCGGGAAGGCCTACTCTCACCGCAGCACGCTCCAGCAGCACCGGCGCCTGCACACAGGCGAGCGGCCATACCGATGCCCTTTCTGCGACAAGACGTACACCTGGTCCTCCGATCACCGCAAGCACATCCGCACCCACACCGGCGAGAAACCCTATGGGTGCCCGGACTGTGGTAGGGCCTTCGTGCGCTCCTCCGATCTGCGCAAACACCAGCGCAACATGCACAGCAACGACAAACCCTTCCCGTGCACCCAGTGCGGCTTGACCTTCAACAGGCCTCTGTCACTACTGCGCCACCAGCGCACGCACCTGGGCACCAAGCCTTTCCGCTGCTCCTCCTGTGGCCGGGAGTTCTCCGTGGCCAGCCGCATGGTGGAGCATCAGCGCGTGCACTCGGGCGAGCGGCCCTTTCCCTGCTCCACCTGCGGCAAGTGCTTCACCAAATCCTCCAACTTGCAGGAGCACCAGACGCTGCACACCGGTCAGAGGCCCTTCAAGTGCTCCGATTGCGGTGTGGCCTTTGCGCAGCCCTCGCGCCTGCTGCGCCACCAGCGCATCCACACGGGCGAGAGGCCTTTTCATTGTGCTGAGTGCGGTCAAGCCTTCGCCCGCTCCTCCACCCTAAAGCGGCACCAACAGATCCACTCTGGGGACAAAGACTTCCTCTGTGCTGAGTGTGGCAGGGCCTTTCACATTGCATCCGAGTTGGCGCAGCACATCCAGCTGCACAATGGGGAGAGACCCTACCAGTGTGAGGGCTGCGGCCAGGCCTTCATCCGCTCCAACCACCTCGAAAGACACAAAGCCAAGCATGACACCTGCAAGAAGGAGTCTGTCCCTTCCTCCTCCCATGAATGAGAGCACCATTGACTTGCTGCTAAGAGAAGCTAAGACAACCTCGACTTCACAAGGCAGCATGGAACCCAGCCCGGTGTGCCCACTCACATCCTATTCTTCCCTCAAAGCCAGTCAGGTTCACTGGTCACTCCCCTTACTACGTGGTTTCTGGCTGCGGAGTGCTCCATGTACTTTATGTATTTGATGTGTTGTGAGACAAAATAATCCCAAGGATAATCCAGGTGTGCAGTTTCCCACTGGTCTCCCACTGCACAGAGGCAGTGAGCAATTGGAAAGGGGGAAGATAAAATGTGTGGGCTGGCCAATAATCAGATTCCATAGGTCAGGGATTTCAGTGAATGAAAAGTTGGAGAATTCTGTGCTGGGCTCTGTGCAGGCTTCTATGGGTACCCTGATGAAAATCATCCATTTTGCTCTTCTCAAAGCCATATCAAATATTGAGAAGACCATCTTTAGAGAAAGAGTCTTTTTAATTTTTATATAAAGGAATCCTCAGAAATGATGGACTCTCCCAAAGAACAAAGCCCAGACATCCTAGCGTGTCAACTGCTAAATGACTTTAACCTTGAAGGAATGTCTCTGTGTGTTAGCTTTGAAGTATAGAAGGCAAGGTTGGGGGTTTGTGTTGTATTTGGGAAGCAGTGATTCCAGAAGTTCAGAACAGTTTCAGAAAAAAGGCCCATTTCTCATACAGGAGGACCTCACCTTGGTCCCACCCCTAAAGTTCACAGGGGTCTCCTCTCTGTCTCTGCGTTTTCCCTGCACAGGATTCGAACTCAAGCCACATGTGTAATTTGTAGAGAAACATTGAATTTTTCCAGATAAGCCACGGTATGGTTCATTTAAATCTGCCTGGATCATTAGCAGTGATGTGAAGGAAATATAAAAAAATACTCTCTGCCCAGGTGCCAATGGGCTTGTGTTTGTGTCAATGTCATTAAAATCAGCAGTGGATGTCTTTATGCTTCATCATTATCCTCTAATGAATTTACTCTAAATCTGTGCTAATAGTAGTTCTTTAAGGCACTGAGGCAGGCACAGATTCTTGGAAAATCGGGTGTTTGTGCCTTTGGACCTTGACCATGAGGAATGTGTGTTTCACAAAACATTTGATGCTGACAGACAAATGCCATTTGTAATTTTTACAAAGTCTGTCATTTCCCCCTAGGCGAGGTGATGTGTGTGTGTGTGTGTGTGTGTGTGTTGTGTTGTGTGTGTGTGTGTGTGTGTGTGTGCGTGCGCGTGCACCCCCCACATACACACACACAAGTGCTTACTGGTCTAAATATCTCACACTATCTTCATTGACTATGAGACATGGGACATGAGTCACTCAGTGGATATAAGGGAAGACTGACTGGGACACCTTTTGTTAGGCATGTGGCTTATAAAACAGCCTGTGCATGTGCATGCAGAAGCTGGAGCCGGACACTGGGAGTCTTTCTCTATCACTGTCCACCTTATCTTTTGACATAGGGTCTGTCATTGAATCTAGAGTTCAATATCTCAGCTAGGCTGCTGTCCACTAAGCCCCGACGATATGTCTCCATCTTACTGGGTTTGGAGTTTTTCAGTACGTGCTGCCACACCTGGTTTTGGGTGAGTCCTGGGAATCTAGACTCAGGTTCTCTTGTGTTTGCTTGCATAGCAAACACTTTACCCCCTGACTAAACCATCTCTCCAACCCCCTATATATAAAACTCTGTCAGATTCCACCTGATTTGGACCCACAGTGGGACTGCTAAATATCATTCTCATGATACATGAGCCCAAAGAGGAGTGATAAGTCCATCCTCATCATTTACCAATCCAGCACCTTGAAGTTTAACTTCTGTGGCTGGGTGGTGGAATAGGAATGATGGCAATAGATAATAAAGGATGGAGTCATCTTAACAGCTGACAAAAACTGTGGCTGATGTGAGAGAGCATTAAACAGGCAGAGACATCAGAAGAACTATCCTTTGACTATAAGTAGAATAAAGACTATTATGTAATCAGTGAAATATTTGAAGATTGGTTAGTCCTCTGTATTTTTTGAAGGTGGTTGTTAGTATAATTTAGTAGTTAAAAATTTTGATTTAGCACTATATTTCATCAGGAGGTTTTACCTCAAGGATAATTTGTACAACAGCTTCATAAAAGTCAGACTGATTATTAACCACTCATCTTGCTGAATCCTAGCTTTGAGTATCAAGACAGGATTGCCGGGCAGCATCTGGGTACCACTTTCAGGCCTGCACACCTTTAAAGAAGTCAGAAAAATAAATGATTAGCATGTGTTGGGTATCTTTAGTATTCTATACTATGTTTTTGAAACATAAGAGGGTGGTATGAATAGGCTAAAGAAATTCATAAATTTCTGTTGAATAAGCAAGTTACATTTTAAGAAAAATGTTCTCAACTAGTCTTCTCTTATATCCATTGAAAAGGCTCATGTTAAGTAATGGATGTAGACCAACTAAACATGTGCAAGTGAACCTGTAATGACAACACAGAAAGCAGACATGAGGGAAGCGAGAGAAGCCAGCCAGTTGTGAGAGAGCTTGACACAAATCCTACTGAGTGGAACCTGACATTCCAAGTAGGGCAAATTGAAATATCTTTGGAGAATAATCAGTGCTTGAAGACAAGTTATGTAGGCTCACATTATTGCTCCAAATAAATTGGGTTATTTTTATCTGGCTTTCTAGAAACCTTCTCTACATCACATTTGACAATCTCATCTTATTTTACAATTCCATCTATATGTACTACTGGAATTACAATCAATTAGAAGACACACAACTAACATATACTATACAATTGCTTGTTGGTAGAGAAAACTATCTATTTTTGGGGATCACAGAAAAATTCTATGACAACTGATGCCCAAGATATTTAAAGACTTATCTATAAAGATGTCTAAGAAAATGTCTAAGAACCAAATTATTTGTTACTTATTACATCAAGTTGATGTAGTTTCAGAGACCTTGCTGTAGTTTAAGAGACCTTGAAAAACAAATTCCAAAGCTTATACTACAAGGTTAAAGGCCTATGACTGGCCAAATAATTGTGAGAGAACAAAATGAAAAAGAAACAAAGAGGATGGCTTGACCCAGGGGCAAAGCACAGGAGGCCACAGGAGGTCATTTCAGAGTTACTGTCAATTTTATACTTAAGGAAGGACAAACAGTTTTATAAGACAAAACAAAGAACACATAAACAGAACCAAACATTTATAGATGCTTAATATGCAACAGGGTTAGGTATTACAAGTTGGTGAAGAAAAGAGCTGTGCTGTTAGTGTGTTGGGACAACCAGGCCTATATATGGACAAATAAAATTAGATTCATTTTTCATATCATAAAATATTAATTGAATACTGTCATCAAAATGTTCAGACTAGGAAAAGATGGATGGACATTTTAATTTTATTTTATTTAGATTTACTTGTTTTTATTTTATGTGTATGAGAATCTTGCCTGCATGCATGTCGATGCACCACTTGTGTGTCTGGTGTCTGTAGAAGTCAGCAGAGGGCAGCAAATATCCTAGAACTGGGGTTACAGATGGTTGTGAGCCACCAGGTGGGTAATGGGATCCTGGTCCTTTGAAAGAGCAGTCAGGGCTCTTAATGACTGAGCCATCTTCCCAGTCCCTAGAATATTTTTTAAAGAGACCCCTCCAAAAAAATTGCAAAGGAAACATTGAATCAAACCACATCACAAGTTTAAAGACCTGGATGTACATTGGAGCATGTGTGTTTAATTAACACACAATGGTAGTTAGTAACAAGCCTAAAAAAAAATAAATAAATAAAAATAAAAAAATAAAAAGACACAATGGAGCATGAGACAGGATATTAAATTCAAAGTCTGCCTAGGCTGCACAGTAAGACCCTGCCCTCCAACCCTATTTTTTTTTTTTTTTTTTTTTTTGGACGATCTGTAAGGCAAAGGGTAGCATAGGTAACATCATGGCAGTGTGACAGGACATTTGTGACACATATAATTGTCAAGGGACTAGTGTCCATAATCTAGGAATAAGTCAAAGAAATTAATAAGAAAGATAAACCTTAAAAACTAGACAAATGATGAAGAAAAACTAGAAGAAATTCAAATTCTCAATAAATAAAAAAGATGACCAACCTCAGCAATAATAAAGGAAATGCACAACAATTAGGTTGCTAAACGTAACAAAAACCTGATACCCTCTTGATGCTGAGAGGGGCCATAGCAGTTAAACAACACTCCCATTGAAGATGCCCAGCTTGATCCAATGATACCCAAAACTAAAGCAACAAACACACTCAACAGTGTAACACCCTTCAAATACATCAAGGTCATAAACATCTCATGAGCTGTTATAGATAAAATAGAGAGGATGGACAACTCAATGCAATGTGTTTCCTGGATCAGAAAATAAAGAAACATGGTAGAAAGGACTTAATTGGGAAAGCTTGTGAAGCTCATAGTTCTGTATAAACTTTAATACTGAGTTTTTATCATGGTTACATAAGAGAGTTGCTTTATTTCTGGGAGTTGTATCTTGGAATTTTTAGGACTGAAAGGTCATGGTGCCTGCAACTTAGAAATAGTTTGAGGCAAAGTGATGTAATCAAAAGTTTGTATGAGAGGAGGGGTGGAGACAGGGAGAGGGACAAAAGGAGAGAAAGCCAGTGTCACAAAGTGTTAGACACGTATTGAATCCAGGTGAAGATCAGACAGGAGTAATGTTATTATGCCATTTTAAAACTTTTCCGCTGGTGTGAATTTTTTTTTACCAAAATAAAATGTCAAATAAAAGTGCTTGTTTGAAGTGTTAGTGTGTAGAGAAATGGAAAATTTCATACTCTGCTGGAAGGAATGTAAACGATTGGTACAGTTCTTTGGAGAGTAACACAATAAAGATGCTATACTCACATGATGAAAGTAATATAGCATGAGGATGTATCATATAAGTAAGCGTCAGTAATTCTCCTCTTATACCTTCAATCCAAATGAGATGTGGGAACATTGGTC